TCCCGTGTCCTCATGCGCCGCTTTCTCCCCCGCTGCCCTGCAGGTGATCAACGCCATCGAGCAGGATTACCGGCTCCCGCCGCCCATGGACTGCCCCGCCGCCCTGCACCAGCTGATGCTGGACTGCTGGCAGAAGGACCGCAACACCCGCCCGCGTTTCACCGAGATAGTCAACACCCTCGATAAAATGATCCGCAACCCGGCAAGCCTCAAAACTGTGGCAACCATCACCGCTGTGTGAGTCTCCCGGCGCGCGGGGGATGCTCTTGTGTCAGCCATCCCAAGCCACGGCGAAAGGCTCCCCGAGCAGCTCGCGCTGCCAGGGGAAGGACAGGAGCGCTTGAATCGTTTGCCAGGCGCAGGGGGGTTCTGTCTTTGCTCTGTCTGACAGTCAAACAAAGAACATGCAGTTTTCAGTTCAGCAACAGCAATAATTCTTTGCTATTGATTGTTTGTGGCGTGTGACCATACGGGTGCAATGTCTGCTCTGCCGGCGCCTCCGCCCCTGTGGCTCTTGCAGCTGGATCACAACGTGTGGGGTTGCGAAGCGCAGCTTGGCAGAGTGGTATTCCCATGGGACGGGCCTTCCTCATGCCCTTCCTTGTCTCAGGCATGTGCCGGCAGCGGGGCGGTGTTGGGAGGAGCACAAGGATGCAGGGGGGTGCATGGGGGAACGCATCTGCGCACCGGCTGGGCTCGTGACTGGCAGCCCCTCGGCGCTGGCCGGGCTTGTCCCCAGCGGTGTGTCCTGTTGCAGGCCTTCTCAGCCCCTCCTCGACCGCTCCATCCCCGACTTCACTGCCTTTACCTCAGTAGATGACTGGCTGAGCGCCGTGAAGATGAGCCAGTACCGGGACAGCTTCCTCACCGCTGGCTTCACCTCCCTGCAGCTTGTTGCCCAGATGACATCTGAGTGAGTTGGGTGCTGCGCCAGGTCTGCCCGAAAGCTGGGTGCTGCCCGGGGCGGGTTGGGGTTGTGGGGAGGTGAGAAGGTCAGTTCAAGGCACCTGCAAAGGAAGGGTCTGTCCCATCTATCACGCTGGTCAGCAGAAGCACCCTGAGTCTGGAGGTGACTGCGCTCACCATCTCGGGGTCAGTGTGCAGGTGCCTCCCTGCTCTCAGTCCCACCTCGCCCCCGGTGATGCTTATGGGGCTGCGCTGGAGCTCTGTGGCTGCTCTGCTGAAAGGCACAGACCAGCTGAGCTTACATCCCTCACTTCACTTAGAGAGAGCAAAACAGATACGCCAACCTATACTTGAGTAAATACTTGAGTGGTCAAGCACTGGCACAGGCTGCCCAGGGAGGTGATGGAGTCACCATCACTGGAAGTGTTCAAAAAACGTGTGGACGTGGCACTTCGGGACATGGTTTAGTGGGCACGGTGGTGTTGGGTTGGCGGTTGGACTTGATGATCTTAAAGGTCTTGTCCAACCTTAATGATTCTGTGATTCTGTGGACCCCCAGCTGCCCATTGATACTCCTCCATCTGTCTGTCTGTCTGTCTTGCAGAGACCTCCTGAGAATAGGGGTGACTTTGGCTGGGCACCAGAAGAAGATCCTGAACAGCGTCCAGTCCATGCGAGTACAGATGAGTCAGTCTCCGACCTCGATGGCATGACGTCCCTTGTTCGACGGGGAGGGGAGTGGGGAGGGCACGCAGCGGAGGGGCAGAGGTGGGAGGGGAGGAATTGACGGGTGCCGTGGGGCAGCGTTTGGAGAGGTGCCGCCGCTGCCCAGAGACTGTGACCGCAGGCGAAGGATGTTCCTGGGACTCATCTCTTATTAACTGGTGACTTCCGTTCCTCACCAACAGAAGCACACTTACCAATGTCATGGGGAACAGCGTATAAATACATATAAATATGTACAAATCATATATTTAAAAAACAAAACAATTAAAAAAAACCACAAAAAACAATGAAGACAAACCAATGTGCGTTGGGGAAGCAAACCCAAACCCTAGAGACCAGACTCCATCCCACCACCAGTGAGCAGTGGTCGAAACTGAGGAGGAGGAAGGGGCTGCTGGGGAAGGGAGAGGCATGAGATGGAGAGTCCCATCTGGAGAAACCACCTTCCTTTTCTTTTCTTCTTTCGCCCTCCCTCCTCACCCCGCTCCCTTCTCTGCTCATGGACCGGGTGGAAGCGTCCTCGGGTGTCTCCGCAGCTCCCTGCCGTCCTGCCCAGGTGCTGCTCCGGCAACTACCAAAGGACTTCGCTGACCACTGCATGGGGGATCCGACTCAATCCAGTTAATGTCTTCATATTGAAGAAGAGATGTACCTTCAATAGAAAACCTTGGGTTTTTTTTTTTCTCTTTTGCTTGCATTTTTTTTGCAAAAAGGAAAAAAGAGGATTTTAAAAAAAGAAAATCCATCCTGGAAAATGGAAAGAGGTGTTCCCGTGTGTATGTGCGCTCGTGTGTACGTTGTCAACCTACCGTGGACTCACTGCTTG